AAGAAATTTTTTAATAGATAGCAAAAAAATGAAAAATAAAAATCTAAAAAAAACAGCAAAATTTTGTCGAAGCTTCAGTTTAAAATGTTTTTGTCATATTGACAAAAGGATTGACAAAAATGTAAAGTTTCATTACAATACGCATTTATTCAAAACACTTATGTTCTTTTATGTGTTGTGACCTTTCAAAACGTGAATGATCATGGGTCTCCACAACTTTCTATCCTTTGTAGTTCTAAAGAATATTTGCGCCCTTACTATTCCTCGCACTCCCTGTTTTGCCAAACATTTTTACAGAAAGTGGTTAGGCAGATTAATTGCCGTTTCCCACTGCTCGGTTTGTCTTCAAATTGTCCTGTGGGTACCAAATTCTCCCAACCCTATTTCCTCATTGTGTGTCCCAGAAAAGTCTCTTAATGTCCTTTTCTTCCAATTTTTATTAAAGGTTTCTCATACCGTTCATGATCCTACTGTAGAACCACATTTTTTTTTGCCTCGTCTCCATTTTGTAGGGAAATTCTACAGTATTCATTGTCATTTTAGAGGATTACATAGGATTTCAGCACTCTATTCTTTGTTTCGAAACATATTTTCCAGATTCTTAATCTTATTATTGGTAAGTTTATCATCAAAAACACTAAAAGAAGAAGCAGAAGTATTCGAGAAATAAATAACATTGAAGTATCTCAGAGGAAAGTGAAGAAAAAGGAGGAGAATAAACATCGGCAAAGAAGAAGAAGTTATGTGGAGCAGAGTGAAGAATATTTTGGAAGAAAGAAAAAAAGGATATATGCCTTTGGGCTTGGAGAGGAATTCAGTTTGTTAGTGGTCTACTCCAATATTTGCGTTACAAAAACGAATGGTAATTTTAAACACAAATACATTAATCAAATTAGCTTCAACTCTTAAAAGCATCTTTTTAAAACTGATCACCTAACTATGCAGTCTTCCTTCTTTTAATTATTCATTCTTTTTTTCATCACTTTCCTCCTTTCCTTCCTCAAATTAAGACAAATGAAACAGCGATGATAAAAATAGATCAGTCTAATGATATTTAATACCACAAGAATAAATGATGGTAGAAAGTTTGTGTTCTGACAGATTTTGAAGTGTAGAAAATATGTCTACTATGAAAACCCTCGAGTAGGGAACATTTTGTGCGTGAATGATCCAAGCTTTTAGCTCAACTCAAACACTGGCCATCGACCATTATTGGTGGACATAATGTCAGCGCCGATGACAGTGTTGATGGTAGACTCAGAATGAAAACTGAAACACTTGTAGACAAGACAGTAAAAGGAAAAAGAGAAGGAAGGGCTATTAACTGTAAGAAAACAAAATGTATGGTCATCAGCAAGAGAGATAGTTCAATATTTGGACTACGAATTGGAGATGTAAAAAATGAAGCAGCTAGAAAAATTTAAAACTTGTAGTAACAGACGAAAGAAAATGTGCCACAGAAATCTAAAGATGCACTGGAATAGCGAAAGAAGTCTTTTAGAAACTAAGCATTAAATTAAGAATCAGGAAAATATCGCTAGAAAGAAAGAAGAATGATGAACTGCTATATGTCTATTATCCCATATGGCAGTGAATACTTGACAATTTCTTAATGAATGAAGATAACTGAAGCGACAGATATTCTGAAAATATCAGGAACTATGAGCAACGAATAGGTTTTAAGGGAAATAAGAACTAAATCATGAAATGGATTAAGTCCGATAATTATTTAATATGTTTTCTGGTTATAAGGTATTTTAATAGATGCAATTTATTTAAGTAAATACTCTGTTTGTTTTTTAATTAAACAGTATTAATTATATTTACCGACCCGAATGTTCGAGAAATTTCGTAGGAAATCTCCAACAGGAATCGAACCAGTGTCCTATATGGAACTGTCTTTTGATCTAACGTGCTATACCACTTAGCTGTAGGGAAGCGTCTGCTTAGCAAAATCTAAATTAATGTTTTTAAACAACAAATCTTCATCGATTTTTCTCGATCGATATCTGCTCACGAAATATATCTTAACGTAAACAATGACAACATATCATGAAATGGATTAAATCCGACAATTATTTAATATATTTTCTGTTTATATGTTATTTTAATAGATACAATTTATTTAAGTAAATGCTCTGTTTCTTTAAATATAAACAGTATTAATTACATTTACCGACCTGAATATTCGAGAAGAAACAGAGCATTTATTTAAACAAATTGTATCTGTAAAGTAACGTATAAACAGTAAATATATATGTATATTAATGTATATTTGGGCAGCGGCCTTTCCTTTAAACATATTTTATTAAATACTGCAGACAAGGAAAATTTAATTATTTTTTTTTTAATTTTTCCAGCATCCCTACATTTTTTTCCGTTATATAAGAGTAACGGAGTACAGAAACGTTCCATAATTTTCTCCATCCAAAGCGCTTTCGGCCATTTCTTTAGCAATTTTCAAGGCGGTTACGTTTTTGGTGTTGTTACTAAGTTGTATTTTACTTTTGTGTAGTTTTGAATATGAGCGTTATTCTAAATGTGGGATTCCCAATGACGGCTATACAGTTCCTCTTGCGGTGGAAAGATCCGGGAGCGCAGTAGGGAAGGTAGTTACAAAAATTGAAAATGGGCGTCGTAGGAAACAGGCTGGAATTCGAATGAAACAATTATTTGAGAATAATAGTAGGTTACAAATGTCATCAAATTCCAAACATGTTTTTTTGACCAACATTCGAAGACAAAAAGGTAATATATATATATATATATATATATATATATATATATATATATATATATATATATATATATGGTGCAAAAATGGCAACGGTAAAAATGACAAAAGTGGATAAATAGGAAAAAATGGCAATTCGACAACAGAAAATTATGACCGTTCGAGAAGGATGGGTCTAAGCTCCCATCACTCTAGTTTAAAATAGGGCTAAATCCCCCCCACCAAATCAATATTATAAAATAAATATTTTTAAATAGATATTTACTCTAGTGGGGGGGGGCTAGGATCCTTCTCCTCTTGTTTTAAATAGGGGCTGAGTACCCACTACTAGTACGAAACATTTTTTTGTAAATTTTCGATGTCGATTTTTAGAAGTTTTATTGGTGGGGGGCGCTAGGTTCCTACTCCTAATTGCAATAAAAGCACAAATCGTAGCGTGTTTAAGTTAATTTGATGACTATAATTAATTTTATAATTAATAGCTGACATTAGGATTAGATGTATATATATATATATATATATATATATATATATATATATATATATATATATATATATATATATATATATATATATATATATATATATATATATATATATATATTTATCTATATTATTTATATATTATATATGCGCGTTGCTTATTGGAAATCGCTCAATATCAGTTGTAGAGCTAAGATATTTAAATGGATTGATGTGAGTTTGTGACCCTTGGTTTCACGTTATTTGCAATCGTCAGACGATCGCAAATAGCGTGATACCCAGAGTCACAAACTCACATCAATCCATATATATATATATATATCCATATATATATATATATATATATATATATATATATATATATATATATATATATATCAAATTCAGTGATCGTACGAGAACCGGTGTTTCAACGTGATATGGTCGTAAACATATCCGAGAAAAAATATCACGTGAAACACCGGTTTCCGCACGATCACCGAAGTTAAACACCTTCGAGCCTCGTCAGGACGTAAATGACTGACCGCTTGGGAATACCAGGTACTGTAAGCTTGGATGTGTAGGTGGTGTAATGGATAACGGCACGGAATTTGGAAATCGGACGAACGAGTTCCAATTTTGGACAACTTCGTTATATTCACTTACTCGGAAATAACCGTGAGAAAAATATCAATCTACCTCTTCTCACCAGCTATCAGTGAAATTATTATTTCCAAATAATTCTTACAATCACCAATTTTTTCTGAACCTGTGATGGGTCGATAAACCGTAAAAAATAATCAATCAATAGAGACACGCGATTTGATAGAAGCACACACTCTCTGATCGATTTCGGTCGAATCGGAATCAAACTACCAGTCACGATGAACGAATTTCTCCTCGCGGTGGCACTGTGCCATAAAAGACGGTTAGGCCTCAAACTCGCACCGGATCTCAAGTGGAACTCCAACCTCTCTCTCTCGCTCACTCTCTCTCTCTCACTCTCTCTCTCTCTCTCTCTCACTCTCTCTCTCTCTCAAAGGCAGGATATGGCAAGTCTCCCACTGCTCTATTGCTACTTCCACGGAATGTGTTCGGACGTACTACGTTCCCTGATCCAGCTAGTTCTAACCTTCACAACAATTACACACCAATTCACTTATATAGTAGTAAACCACCCATATTCCCTCCTTATTTCATCGGTGAGAAGTTCCATTCGAACAGCTTCTTCCCGTGAACCACTGCTCTGTGGAACTGACTCCCAAGGGGATGTTTTCCCGATCACTATAATCTCAATCTGTTCAAAGCTGCGTTTAACCGTTATCTTCCCTTCCTGTCTATACAAATTGCCTCCTAATGTAACCCTCTACCTTGAGTGGACCCCAGGCCTTGTACAGGTTGAATCTTACTGTAAAATAGTCAATTGAGAAGATTTATACCTGAATCATGGATTGATAGAAACGTGAACAACTTCTAAATTGGATGAAAAGATTTGGAGCAAAAATGTTTGGCCGTGTCATTCGGACATAGAATTTCATCGCACTAAACATGTGTTTTTTTTTTCATATTGATTTAAATCGGGTCGGGGTTACGGGCATTAAATCTCAAAGGGAAAACATTGGACAACCACTTGTTCGTTGCCACCTGCCACACCTGCTAAGCAGACATACATTTCTTTATAATATTCTCTTTCATTCAGGGGGGATTGGCGCCATAAATTATCATGTGCGGATCATTTAAGTTAAGCAAGATTAAGCATAAATGGATGACTGGGAATGGTTGGTATAAAGAGAAAAGATAGCATCTATATTTTCAAGAAAGAAAAAAAAGAAAGAAAGAAAAAGAAAAAATAACAGAATGAAGAAGGAAAATATTTAAGAGGAGGAAATAGCGAAAAGTAGAAGAAAGGGAAAAGAAAGAAAGAAAGAAAGAAAGAAAGAAAGAAAGAAAGAAAGAAAGAAAGAAAGGAAAAAACTGAATGACGAAGGAAAATATTTAAGAGGAGGAAATAGTGAAAAAATAGAAGAAAGGGAAAGAAAAGAAAGAAAGAAAGAAAGAAAAGAAAGAAAGAAAGAAAGGAAAAAACTGAATGACGAAGGAAAATATTTAAGAGGAGGAAATAGTGAAAAATAGAAGAAAGGGAAAAGAAAGAAAGAAAGAAAGAAAGAAAGAAAGAAAGAAAGAAAGAAAGGAAAAAACTGAATGACGAAGGAAAATATTTAAGAGGAGGAAATAGTGAAAAATAGAAGAAAGGGAAAAGAAAGAAAAAAGAAAGAAAGAAAAGAAAGAAAAAAGAAAAGAAAGAAAGGAAAAAACTGAATGACGAAGGAAAATATTTAAGAGGAGGAAATAGTGAAAAATAGAAGAAAGGGAAAAGAAAGAAAGAAAGAAAGAAAGAAAGAAAGAAAGGAAAAAACTGAATGACGAAGGAAAATATTTAAGAGGAGGAAATAGTGAAAAATAGAAGAATAGGAAAAGAGAAAAGAAATGTAAAATGAAAAAGAATATAACTGAAAGAAAGAAAGAAAGAAAATTGGAAATAAATACATATATTTAAAATGTAATAAAACGAAAATGAGGGTAAATAGGAGAGAAATAAAAGCGGAAAGAAGAAAATGAAAAAAAATATATAATTGAATGAAAAGAAAAGAAAAGAAAAAAAGAAAATCAAGGGGAAAAAAGTAAAGAAAGAAAATCTAAAATGAGAAAGTAAAACATTAAGAAAGAAAGAAAAAAAGAAAGAAAGTAAAAAAGAAAGACAATAGGAAGATATTAAATGAAAAAAGAAGATATAAGACGACAAAAGAAAACATTAGGAAAGAAAGAAAAAAGAAAGAAAGAAAATATAAGAAAACATTGAAAAAGAAAACATTGAAAAAGAAAGAAAGAAAAAAATATTTAAGTTACGATACAAGAAAGAATAACGGAAAAGAGGAGAGAGGAAAAAGAGAGTAGAGAAGAAAAGTAAAATCAAAATATAATTTAAAGAAAAACTAAGAGAAATAAAAGAAAGAAAGAATCAGATAAAAAAAAAGAAATAAAGAAAAATATTTAGGATATGACAAAAGAAGAAGAAAAGAGGAAAATAGGAGAAAAATAAATAAAAAATATGTAAGTGCCAAAAAATAGAGAAAGATTAAATAAAAGAAGAAATCAAAATGGATAGTATTGAGAAAAGCAGAAAACAGGAAAGAAAACAACGTACACAAAATATAGAACGATATTTAAAGAGACGTGAAGAAAAAGAAAAACAATGAAAATTTCATCTATTATAAAAGACAGATGCTTAAAAATATATAAGAACAAATACAAAACTCAAAAAGTTAGGAAAAAATAGAAAAAAAGAGGAAAACACACACACACGCACATATATATATATATATATTCAAAATTATAACGTATGCATGTTATAACATTACTACAAAAATTGCATTTTTTGTTTCAAACTACTGGTGTCTGATCAAGTGATGATGTTGATTGCAAGCATTGAAACAAAATTACAATTTTGTTGTGATGCATATGTTATAACTTTTGAATAAATATTATTTGCTCTACTCGGCCTTCGGGTTGGGTTGCGACCGTGGCAAAGTCTAGTTTGGACCATATCAGGACCTGCTAAGACAAGCCAAGACGAACTTGGACCAGAACCTGACTAAGCTTTCACCAGCTTGGACATGTTATGACCAAAATTTGGACTAAAACTTGACTAAGTTTTGACCAGCTTGGACATGTTATGACCAATCTTTGACCAGCGACCCTATGCGGAAACGCTCGGGTTTCTCAGGAAAAACGACCTTGTGTCACATCTTGACGTCGTGGGAGTCAAGTAAATACTCTTTTAAAAACAGTATTTTTGGTTATCGGAATTTTATTCTATCCGTACTATCTTAATGCTAAAAACGGCTGTCAGGTTACAGCGATTTTATTCAATTTTTCTTGTGTTCGTAATTTTTTAAAATATCTAGTTTTTTGGGGGTTTTTTTTAAGTGGGACATGTAACAGAGAAGCACGGAGCGAATGGATTTCCATACTTATTCCATCAGTTTGAGAGTAAATTTTGAAATTATGGTCGTAGAAGGGGACTTTAGTTGTGCAGGCATGCAATAATTTTTTGAGAATATTAGGGTTAATGGATGAAGGCGGAGTGAATTATTTTTATATACAGAGTTAAGTATTATATCAATGGTTTGTTCAAAGGACATTTGTAAATAAATAACTTGCTGCCAAATACGCATATATATATATATATATATATATATATATATATATATATATATATATATATATATATATATATACACGTTGTTCAAATAAATTTATACATTGTTCAAATGAATTCATTTCGTTTTTGCCTTAAAAAAAGTCCGCAGGGGACGAAACGCGTCGTCTAAAACTAATACACTTTCTTATTGTCTTTATTTTCTTCATATATATATATATATATATATATATATATATATATATATATATATATATATATATATATATATATAAGGTATGCCGAAAATAGAAAAAGAACACATTGGGTGCATAATCCGGAGTTCCTTAGTATTTTTGTGTTTATTTTTAAGAAGACAGTGCTCCATACAGAAGTAGAGCTTTATTATAATAATATTTTTTGTTTAAAAATATGATTCCTTCGCTACATAAGAGTTCTCATGTTTCATGTGTGTGTGTGTGTGTGTGTGTGTGAAAGTGAAATTACTGGGCTTTTCGCTCTCTGTGTTCGAACTGTCCAAGGCACACCGGACCAAATGGTTATTTCTCCTACATGGTGTGGAGGGTGGGGGGCATAGGTTTGAACCCTAACACCAAACATATTTTCTTAAGATTTCTCGAGTGTGTAGTTTGATACACATAATACACAATATTTAAAATAAAAATTTCAAATACGAGTATCCACTAAAAATAACGTTCGATATAATAAAAATGTCTACACTATTTACATTGTTCGGAATGTTGTTCTCATCTTTATTGTCACATTCAAAATAAATATGTGGACAACAGTCAGAACAATGTAACTAGTATAAATATTTACAATACCTCATCTCAGGAAATGTCAGATTAAAAATAAAGCCATTAAGTAATATATATTGTATGTTTGGGCAACAATCTTTCTTTTATACATGTCTAATTGAATGTGACTGAAAATGAAAATCTTATAAGTTTTTCATTAAGTTTTTCTAACAGCTTTCTTTATGAGTTAGGCTAAGAAGGCATAGAAACGGTCCTTAATGATTATTGGTCCTGTCGCTCTTGGCCAATTCATTAGCCATTTTTAAGGCATTCTTTGTTTCAAGAATCTAAGGAAAAAACAAGATTTCCCTTGTCTCTCACATTTAATGAAGCATCTTCTTTATTATTAATACTACTATTATTTTTATTGTCATTTCTATCGTTATACACATTCCCATCACTATATGAGAAACGATGATAGATAGGCTAATGAATTTATGAGTAATATTTGTTTAATTTTATATCCGTAATTATAATAAATTACTTATAATAAAGGCTTGAACCTCTTATATTATTTAAAATTATAATAATTATGGGAATTATTTAGTGATGTCTAGGTGACGTAAGTGTGAAACCAGCTTCATTGGTTAGTGGACATGATCTGTACGTGTCGGATTCGTGTATCATTGAGTGACTCACTCGAGTAGAGGATGCATGCACGGTGTCCATATATTATGGTAATTTTCTAAGCGTAGCTTAGATGTGACACAAGGCCGAAAGTATGGGGCACCAAGTGAGGATCAAACTCGCTACTCAATTGTAACTGACCTAGTGATGTCATTATATTATGTTTACCAAGTGATCTAAGATTAAACAAAATATAAAAGTCATAGATATTTATAATTGTATGTAATAATTTTTATGCAGGGTTTCCCTGAGATATGAAAACTAATTCAGAGGTTCCACATGGGTGAAAATGTAGATCAGATATCAAATTTGAAATTTAAGGTCTGGGCGTCTGTGTATCTTAAAGTTTGTTGTAAAGTGTTTATCGCTGTTTGTTGTATCTCTCACTCCCAAACATATTTTTTTCTCTTTTCATAGAAATTTGAAAGCATATTGAAATAACGAAAGATGTCTTCCAAAAACTATACAAGGTATTAAGAAATAGGAACATTTTATTAGACGGAAATGAAAGAGTGCCGAATTACTAAGTAATATCAATCATTGTATATGGCAGTGAATGCTGAATAATCTACACAAGATGATAAAGTAACTTGAGGCAATAAAAAAAGATTTATAGGAGGATGCTGAGAATATCACAGACGCAAGATGTGAGCATCAAGGATGGTTTAAGGAAAAGGGGAACAAAAAAGGAGATTTGTACACAGATGCAGAAAAAATATAAAAGAGGTTGATATTAATAATCGTCTATGGGGCACAGGGGAGTAATGGATAGCGGCTGGGATTGAGGAATCGGAGAGATGAGTTCAAATTCCAGTCAAATCCATTGTATTCACTTACGTGCTAATACCCTTCGGAAAGTTATGAATCCTCTTCTTCTCCCCCAGCTATGAGTAAATAACAGGGCAGACTAAGTTCTATAGCCTTGGATGGTCTAAGGCAGACAAAAATGGCAACCTACGGCGGGAAAAAACCTGCCTTGCCAGTCAGGTATCGAAAGATACATTATCGCCTAAGGGAGTATCAAGCATAGCACATAACCCACTGACTATAAGAGGGATGGCCAAACCGCGGCTCGCGAGCCACATGACTCTTTGACTTTTAGCATGCGGCTCTATGTTGGCTGAGCTCTTTTTTTCATCACAGTTTATATAAAAGCTAAAGAAAAAACTCAGTCTTTATAATTATTTACTGGGTCTGAACTGAGACGCCATTGGATTAAACTGTAGGTTTAGTGTTAATCTAACAAAAACGTGTGTAAATTTTGTTCATGTCTTGCGCCTCTCAAACATCTTAAATTTATCGTGTGTGGCTCTTACATTAAGCAAGTTTGGCCGCCCCTGGCATATCATAATTTATGCAGGGGATTCCTGAGATATAGAAAACTGTTTCAAGAGTTCCACAAGGCAATGTTGAGAAAAGCTATGCTATAATCACATACAATATCTCCCTATCTTTATTATCACTTCTTTTATGGTGATTATTATTTACTAGCAGACTTCACCCGCTACTCTATCGCTTCGCAAATTAAAATATATTGAAATATTTGAAACAAAAATTTTAAATGAACATTTCATTCATCAATTGGCTTGTTATAGTTAAGGAAAATTTTACAAATAGATGCCAACTTGTTGAAAGCCAAGTAAAATGCAAATTTCAAACACTTTTCTGCACTATATAAGACAATATTCCTAAACAGAACTATTTTTGATATGAAAATTAAAACAATCCTTGAATAAAAGAACAATAATGAAAGACAGTTAATTAACGAAATAT